TAAAATTTTCAAGGTAAATAAGTACCATTCACTTCAAGTCATAAGTCAAACAAGGCACATATCATCAACCATAATTATAAGCAAGCACACAATTTCACATAAAACAACTTCTTAAACACGCAAGGCAGATACTTGAAAAATACGCAAGGCATAGAATTTACCCCCTTTACACTCACCTTCTTGATCAGGTCGACTTGGCTTGAGCTAACCACCCTCCAACGCCGATTTATTTGCCATAGTCTTACTTGTAATTTGAAAAATCCACGCGGCTCTAACCTTTATCCCTCATGCTTGCTTAACCGCTCACGGCCCATCTCCTGCTTGCTTAAGCAGATAGCTGACGTAGTAGAGAGGCATCTAATATTGGCAATCCCAAACACCCGTAGTAGAGAGGCATCTAATATTGGCAATCCCAAACACCCTCGCACACAAGCAGGTAGATCCAATGATGCCGGCGCAATGATGGTCCTTTTGTTGCCCTCACTGAAATCACCTCCTTGCTTAAGCTAGCACCTCCCGTAGTAGAAGGAGATAGCAAGCGGCTTGAGAGGACAAACAGACTGGGCTAGAGCTTCTAAGCAAGCACCTGGCAGAGCCGCTTGCTTTCCCACCGCTTGAGCGTACAAGCAGGCTGGTCTAAATCTTCTTCTAACCACGCACGAGAGTTGAAGCAGGCACGTCCATTATCGGACGCTAGCTGACCCATTGGGATGGCTTCTCCCGCGCCGCCGCCTCCCGACCCGCTTCGCTTCCCTTACGTCACCACTCGCCCAGCTTCCTTTCCTCTCGATCTCCATTAACCTTCCGTTGTATTTTTTTTCCTTCTTTCTAGGCAGCCGCTAGGAACCACTAGGCGTTAGGGTTAGGTGATTTATATATAAAAAAAATTGAGGAATAGGGTGAACTAGGGTTAAGTTTAGAGTTTGAATGGTTCTAGGGTATTTTGGGAATTTCACAAATTACGGGTGAGTTTAATCCACAACTCAACTAACGTCCGTAAATTATTCGATTTACACCAAAACTCAACTAACGTCCGTTTGAACCGCAACTCAACTAACGTCCATTTGAACCGAGAGTTTGCACTTTTAATCCTCATCGATAATATGGTGGAACTTGACCTAAGGGTATAATAGTCATTTTGACTTTTGGGAAGATCGGGGTGTAACATTTCCTCCACCCTTATAAAAATTTCGTCCCCGAAATTTAGAGCGTGATAGACACCTTGCATTTGATAGTGCTTGCCTCGACTGAGATTTCAAATTTCCCTCCTCCTTAAGAAAAATTTTGACCTCGAAATTTGTGCACCTCGACAACTTAAGGTCTCACTTGAGGGAATCCTTCTACTGCCGAGATGTATACTTCTTTTACCTTGTATGACCTTGAGCTATGAACCCTTTCCTCCAATTCGTGTGGTTCTTCGCCAATTAATTACTCACCCATTTTTCATAAATCTCTTGCTCAAGCTAGTTACTTGCTCAATGCGTCTATGGCGCTATGGCACTCTCCCTTCTTAAATGCCTCTGATGGTGTAATGGCATTCGTAGCTCTTGCCGTTCTCAACGATTTGTCTTGCGTCTCTACTTAGGATTCCTTAAGAACTTAAGGAAATAAATTATTAGCCAGCTATTCAGGTCGTGACTCATCGTAACTTCAGCTCATAACAGGCCCATACCTTGAACTTCGTCCTCTCTATCTTGACTGCTGACGACTCTACTAGGTATAGAATGTCTGTAGAGAATGTTTAAATTGCATAATGATTGACTCCGATGCTGGTTCCTAGGTATCACTTCTTCTCCTTTTATAGGCCTCATTATTCTCCTCTTTGATAACTCCACTTGATACGCACACTTGATGCCTGATTCACCATATCTGGTTCATTTAGCATGAGAAGACCCTTACACATCCCTATTGACTTTCTTCGTGCCCCTTTCAACCCAAAGGTTACTAATGGTGGCTTAACCTCCATCTTGTTATATCGCAAAACTCTTTTAACACAACCTCATCTGTGGTTGACCACGTAGGTCACCTAGGTCCTTGTACCTTCTGACTTTGGATCTCTTACTTTCTTCCAAGATTTCTTGTCTCTCCCTTTTGCCATCGACTGAATGGTCATCTCCTCGTTACTTGTTGTTTAGCGCCAAAACCTCATACTACTACTTTTACCTTCTGTAGACATTAGAGACATCCTTTGCATTTCTCTATAGCTTGCGATAAACTTTATCACTTCTTTCCAGAATCACGACCTTCCCTTTTGAGTACTTGTTCACTCCTGGTTCCTAACTTAACACTTCCTTATCATTGCTTGAATGTTATGTTCTCGTACTATCCCTTCTGCCACTCTTGTACCCTAGCTGAAATTCATCGTACGGGTTTCCCCGTCCAATAAATTTTTATCTGAGAGATCGGCACCTTTCACCCGCATAGGCGATCTTGGCTTCACTTTGGGGGTACCCTATCAGATTCCCTAAACTCAAATCCATATTACTTCTTTACTCGTAACTCTTCTCCTTGATTTTACTCATTAGTTCTAGATGTCCCTTGTTCTCGATGTAGTCATCTAGGTTCTTATAGTCTCTTCTCACTTATGTACCATGATAGATAAGGTTCTCCCTTCGACTATTCCTGACGATCATGATTCCACCTTAAAAATTGGCTGAGATATCTTCATGGACTTCCTATGGATCGGTTGTTCTCTACTTGGTGGTCAACCTAACGCTTTCTTGTTGTCTGTTGTACTCCTGATTCCGCCTGTCTTAACTATCTTCCTTGACGCATACATCGCTGTTCTTCTTGCTTCTTTACTTTTACTACCAACAACCTTCAACTCTTCTGTTGTTGCTTGTACTATATTTGGTCACCAACCTCTATTGAGTATCTTCTCGTTGTTGTTTTAGGTCACCACTTTCAATGGTGGCTTGCCCTTGGTAACCTTTAACATAACTCATTCCATGTCTCTTTTGTTGATCGATCTTGTGCATAAACTTAGTCTCTTAGTTAGGATTCTTAGTGGCTTAACTAAGCGTGCCTCTTTCATCCTTAACTAGTTGTCTCCTCTGGAGCAGTCCTACTATGCCGCGCCCACTCAGAGTGGGGCACCTTGGATAAGGTAACTTCTCTTTTTCCTCCTTCTCGGTAATGCTTTTCATCGTCGTACTCCACTATGCAGTTTCTTGAACTCAAGCCACCTACACATATTCTCAACCTTTCATCGGAACTTCCATGTGCTTCCTCGAATTCTCTGCCATACACTAGAACATTTATTGAACCTTCCACTTACTCGTCTATACTCAGTTGGCTTAGTGACTTACTCCTATAGCTAGTTTTGAAACTTCCGCTCTTGGCCCTCTAGTTCCCACTTTAGAATTTCCCAATGGATTCCTTGAAATTCCACGATTTTCTGATTCTCCTTGATCATGGTAATTTGCAGGGTCTCTGAACCCCTTTTCATACCTTGTCCTCTAGCTTGCGCTTGACAAGTGTGTAGCACGCCTGATCTAACCTCAACCTCTACATCATTTATCTCGTTACTTGTCTTGTTTCTTCTAAAGGCTTGCTATCAGCCTAACTCCCCAGGGTGATGTACCGTCTTCTCTAGTGACGTACTTTATCTATAAGGGTTCCTTTATCGTCATATGTAAATGACCATGTCTCATCTCCTCCTTGACCCTTTTGACTTCTTGACGTCCTTTCATACTCCCTGTAACCTACTTACTTCCTCCTTTACCTCATTCATACTACCCTAGCTTGTCTTGAAGTCTAAGCTTTCCACTACTCCTTGTCACTGTGTTGTAATATCGTTGACCACTAAAACTAGTTGAGGGACTTCTCGTGGTACCTCTTCGTTTCTTGACTCGCCACTGCTTAGGGTCAAGGACCCTGAAATCCTCCCATCATTATAGCTAATGACATCTAGTGTCTGTAGCTCTTTCTTCGGAGACTCATAGTTCTCCTATTTGTATGTCTTAGTTTATTAGGTTCTCCACATGTCTCCTAGTAGTAAAATCCTCGTACTACGCTCTCAACTCCTTCAAAATCCTTGAGGTATTCCCTTTCAATTTGCACCTCTTTGTCGGTGTTTGGAGTTGAAGTCCTCGCACAATTGATTCTACTTCCACAGACCTTTGCACGTTCCTCCTTCCTTCTCTATGTTGATGATGATGATATGTTTGCTAACGTTCGAGTGATTGGTTAACTAATTGCAAAACTACTATCCATCATGTCGATGAGATACTTGGTCTTGAGAGCCTTTGAGATTCTACTTGGGTTGGTCACGTTTCTTTCACCCTTTCTTTTTTACTGGCGATGACCATATGCCTAAATCTCTCATTTGACAAACCACGACATGTTAACTAAATCGCGTCCGAGCCTATTCTTAAACAATCGCACCCTGGCCTACCATCCCATCGTGTCGTGCTGTCATAGTTATTCACCTTAATATGATAAGAGTAGACTGGAGATTCTATAAACTCTTAAAAGAAGATCCTTGACTCGTTTTCCTTTCCTTTAAAACAACAACCTTTAAAACTGAGACCAATATTCCAGTATTCCTTGGAAACCAAGGAACAGAGGAAGACCGGCTCTGATACTAAAATGAACCACCCTAACCCGGTCAGGTACTACTTTTACTAAAATTCCCTTGATAAATAAAATACACAATCTTAAATTGCAACTGGGAAAAATTTTAGGGCTAATACCACCGAAAATACCAACCTTTAACGAAAGTGTCATTTATATTACGAAACTTGCGATATGACAATTGTATACCAGCCGTTAAATTTTCTGTTAGTAGTTAACAGAAAATACAGTCAGCGATGACATGGTCGCTGATGTAAAAATTTTGACAAAAAATCATTGTAAAAAAAACCAAAACCAAAACCAAAAAAGAAAAAATATATTTCATCTTCCTATCTCTCTCGACTCTCCCCTCCGCCACAACCTCTTCTTCCATCTCCCCCAACTTTTCTACAACAAAAAGTAATCCCCTGAACCGCCGCAAGCAATCAAGTCGGCCAATACTTCCTGGGAGTTGAATGTCGGCGTCCTTCGGCAGACAATCCTAGAAGAGCACAACGAACTGGGTGTCCGGCGCGTAATAATCGAACAGATCCGGAACCAAGGTGATGCTTCGGAGAGGGAGGCAGAGGATTCCATCGTAGCCTTCTCGCAGATGGGTAGGCTCCGGGAAGATTCGTCGATTCGGATTCCATCGTAGCCTTCTCGTAGATGGGTAGGCTCCGGGAAGATTCGTCGATTCGGAGAATCTTGTGAGGTATGCCTAAGATGTCGATCATCGGGATTTTGCCGACGCCGCAGCCGAAATAGAACTCGTGGAAAGCAGAGAGGCAGAATTCCAGATTCACTGGCCATGAGGTCTAGTTTCAGCCGCGACGGAGAGGAAACTTCTCCTCCTTCTCTCCTCCTAATCTCCAGCGATAGAGAAGAACCCAGATTCCTGATCTAATGGGGGAGGTCGCCAAAAGAAAATGGTTGCGGTTGATCTGATTTGGATAGAGGAGATGGTCGACGCAGATTGTCGAAGTTGGATGGTCGGAAGAAGGAGAAGAAGAGAAGGGGCGGCGGATTGGTGACAACACCTACAGAGAAGGGAGAGGGAAAGACCTATGGAGAATGATTTTTGGTAACTATGATTGATTACGAGATCGGTGGGCCAAAGCAGCAACTCGTCGGATTTGTAGTTTACGGCCAGGAGAGCGAGGAGGGGAGCAAGCAGAGAGGTGGACTGCAGACCGGGTTAGGTGGAGGAGTAGGGAGGGGAGGCACGCAAACTTTTTTCTTCTAAATAATTATTTATCAATTAAATATTTTATATAAATTATGCAAATAATAATATCCTATGTGGCACATACATGGACGACACCTAAGCGCCACTTCATCCGTGGTCAAATGAAAGTTGACTACCGTTAGGTCAACAGTTAACTTTAACAGTCAACGGAAATTCGCATAACACAAATGACGCAAACACCCAATAGATTGGAATATTAATGTATTTATTGAAAGTACATAATACAAATGACATTCTCGCTAAAGGTTGGTATTTTTAGTGGTATTAGCCCAAAATTTTAATAAATAAAATACTGAAAACACACACACTTGTAGTTCAAAGCGAAGCCCTAACAGGTGGGAAAATTAGACTCAAACTTTAAAAACTCAACTTGATCTCAAAATAATCTCCAGTCTGTACTCATAGTCATAAATGTAATTAGCTAATAAACTCTGAAGCTGTTGCTACTGAAAACCTTGACTAAGCATCCTCCGTGATGCTTATACTGCTCTCCTCTAGCTGGCTGCCCTCGAACCCGCACTCACTAACTGCTCCTCTAGCTCCTCAAACTGGTGAATGAGATGGGGTCAGTCTACGCCCTTACGTTTAAATACTTATTAATACATGATCACTTTACTTCACTGAGTGGGAGTTGTTTTGTACTTCCACTACTAAAAGCTTAACTCTTAAAACTGTATGGGAGTTACTGTTACTCCACTCTTAAACCTCAAAGCTTGACTTAAATACTTGACTGACACGGGGATCCCTCACTAGCTAGTTCGGTTGCCAACTCATACGTATGAGAAGTCATCCAGACTTTCCTTAAACTTAAACTTAGTTAGGGAAGTCGTAACGATTCATCCCCCTAACATCTTAAACTTATCGTGGTGGCTCTTCACCACGATTCTCAAGGGCATAACTGCTGCCCATCTTAAAAGTCTCAAGAGCATAACTGCTGCTCTGTCTCAAAGATCTCAAGAGCATAACTGTTGCTCTATCTGAAAATCTCAAATGGCAATGGACTGGCGCTAGTGACTAAAAAACACTTAAAGCAACTTCACCTTCTTGAAGGTGAGTTACTTCTTAAAAAGACCTTGTTTCTTAAACTTTAACAATAACTTATACTCATAAAATTTTCAAGGTAAATAAGAACCATTCACTTCAAGTCATAAGTCAAACAAGGCACATATCATCAACCATAATCATAAGAAAGCACATAATTTCACATAAACAACTTCTTAAACACACAAGGAAGATACTTGAAAAATACCTAAGGCGTAGAATTTACCCCCTTTACACTCTCACCTTCTTGATCAGGTCGACTTGGCTTGAGCTAACCACCCTCCAACGCCGATTGCTTTGCCATAGTCTTACTTGTAATTTGAAAAATCCACGCGGCTCTAACCTTTATCCCTCCTGCTTGCTTAATCGCTCACGGCCCATCTCCTGCTTGCTTAAGCAGGTAGCTGACGAAGTAGAGAGGCATCCAATAGTGGCAATCCCAAACACCCTCGTCCACACACCGATAATGGTCCTGCTTGCTTAAGCAGGTAGATCCAATAGTGGCAATCCCAAACATCCTCGTCCACATGCACACCGATAATGGTCCCGCTTGCTTAAGCAGGTAGATCCAATGATGCCCGCGCAATGATGGTCCTTTTGTTGCCCTTCCTTAAGGTAGCACCTCCCGTAGTAGAGGGAGATAGCAAGCGGCTGGAGAGTACAAACAGGCTTGTCTAGAGCTTCTAAGCAAGCACCTGCCGAAGCCGCTTGCTTTGCTACCGATAGAGCGTACAAGCAGGCTGGTCTAAATCTTCTTCTAACCAAGCACGAGAGTTGAAGCAGGCACGTCCATTATCGGACTGTGGCTGGCCCATTGGGATCGCATCTCGCGCGTCGATGGCTCTACATCCCTTGGAAGCGGCAGAGCGAGCAAGCTGCTCTCATGGTAGGCAGCAAGATCCCGCCGCCTTGCAACCAAAGGGCCCACGCCGACCTGCCTCCTTCTTCTAACCAAGCACGAGAGTTGAAGCAGGCACGTCCATTATCGGACTGTAGCTGGCCCATTGGGATCGCATCCGCGCGTCGATGGCTCTACATCCCTTGGAAGCGACAGAGCGAGCAAGCTGCTCTCATAGTAGGCACCAAGATCCCGCCGCCTTGCCAACCAAGGGCCCACGCCGACCTGCCTCCTTATTTCCTCCGCAACCAAGCTGCTTTCATATTAGGCAGCCAGAGCCCACGTCGCCGTCTCCCGATCCGCTCCGCTCCGCTTCCGTCACCACTCGCCCAGCTTCCTTTCCTCTCGATCTCCATTAACCTTCCGTTGTTTTTTTTCCCTTTCTTTCTCGGCAGCCGCTAGGAACCACTAGGCTTTAGGGTTAGGTGATTTATATATAAAAAAAATTAAGGAATAGGGTGAACGTGAATGGGGAATTGGGTAGGGTTAAGTTTAGAGTTTGAATGGTTCTAGGGTATTTTGGGAATTTCACAAATTACGGGTGTGTTTAATCCGCAACTCAACTAACGTCCGTAACTTATTCGATTTATACCATAACTCGACACCGTTTGAACATAGAGTTTGCACTTTTAATCCTCATCGATAATATGGTGGAACTTGACCCAGGGTATAATAGTCATTTTGACTTTTGGGAAGATCGCGGTGTAACATGAGACCATTGATAAAGATGGCCGCTTTTAGAAATTCCTCAAGTTGCTTCACTCCGAAGAGCTCCTCCAAGTCTCAACTGAGGTTTATCCTCCATGTGTGATGACAAGCGCCACCTTTAAGGCAACATGCTTGTAGGTGAACAGTGAAGGGAAAGTGGTGCGGACCTACAGTCAGGCCGTATGCACGGAGGATTATTGCATGACCGATAGCAACTGCAACGTAATTCTACTCTTCAGTGTAACGGAAGATCCTGCAAGAGACGCAGAGACATTGAGGGTTGTTCTCATTTGTGCGCGCTTGGAGATCTGTTATGAGGTTCAGCATAATTGTTAGTTTCTGGACAGTTTCTTGGCTCAGACTGTATTGTTCCTTTTCTCTTTGGTATTGACTATTGACTATCTGTATTTCAATGCTTTCATATTGAGGGCTCAAACCTACCAACTGTAGATTTCTATACGAATGTATTGATGCATTGAATTGGTGTTGCATTTCAGTTCTTTGGTATTGACTATTAACTATCTGAATGTATCTCCTGTTGAACCCAATTGATCCAAACCTCTCATGAATCTAAGAACCAACTAACAACAAAAAGTCCAGCAACCTTGAAGCAACCAACCCCTATCCAAAGAGCTAAAACAATTACCAGGTTTCAGACATAACTCAGCTATGTACGATGAGCCAACTAGAGCAGGTACCTCCCATGTCAAGGAGCAACAGACGTCTACCTAATCCTCTCACATTGTTGTGTTGATGAGCGATCCGCGATATCGTTTTCATGTACCATGAAAGGTTTCCATTGAGGAGGAGGAGGAGGAGGAGGAGGAGGAGGAGAATATCGCTCCAATTACTATCAAGAGGAAGAAAGGGAGAGATGATTCCTGGAAACATACAACCCCCGGCCCCAGGAGGACTTGCGTCCCACATCTTGTTTCCTAGTTTTGGGGATCATGTAGCTTACTGGTTATCAGGGCTAAGGACACATCCTAGGAAGGGTAGAGGGATGCTTCGTGCTACACAAGAGAACAACCCTTCTTGTTAAGAAGGGCATAAGTTTGAGAGTCCTGAGTCTAAGAGGTTGATGCAACATAGTGGGTTGTTTCACCTACAAGAGTCTATGATGCATAAGTTGGACCTTCCGATGTTGGTAGCATTTATATAGAGGTTGCAGGCGGATACCAATATTTTCCACATGTCGCTTAAGATTTTGCAAATTCCATTAGAGGGTGATATGCTTTGTGGTGTTTCCTTGGACACAAATAATTGTTACAATGACCATGTTTGCATGTAAAATAATACCGTAAGTAGGAATGATAATTTGAACCCGCCCCGCCAGGTATTACCCGACTGTAGTAGCGTGGGGTGGGGCATGGGTATCAACTTTCGACCCGCCCTGCCCCACCTCATTCTTGACCCGTTCTAGATCAATTTCTTAGCCCATTTATTCATATATCTCTTATTTTGGCTTTTTCAACTAGTTAGACTTGATCTTTCAACTAAATAGACTGAATTACCCATTATATTATCACTATTATTTATTCATAAAATCTTTCCCCTTCGTTTTATTATAAAAAGTAAAATTTTGTGTGTATTTTTTCTCAAATAGCATGTAAAAGTGGGTCGACCCGCCCCGCCCCATACACGTGCAGGTATTACCCACCCTGACCAGTACTAGCATGGGGCGGGGCATGGATATTGAGGGTATTACCCACCCTGACCAGTACTAGCATGTAGCCTTACATTGTGTTTCGTACAAGCAGCAAACTAATATTTACTATTAGTAATTTGTTCCAGATAAGGAAGTATTACCATTTTCTATTCTCCATTTATGATAATAATATATTGTTTTTACTTATTATACCCAGTCTACGTGCGAAGGGTTAGCGAGTGGGCCATTGGAACGTCTATTTAGGAAAGAGGAAACTTTTCCCTTTCTCTCTCTTATTTTCTTTTCTCTGTCCTCCCTCTTCACTTTCAAAATTCTAGGCAGCATTGGGGGCCACTGCTGGTGATCCTCTAGCGACCGGCGGCGGCCCTCTGCCCCTTGTTTCCCAGTTTTTTACTAGGGCTAATACCACTAGGAAACCCGAACTATTAACTTTGTGTCATTTGTGTCCTAAAGTATCCGATAAGACATTTGTGTCCCAACCTATTATAGTTTTGTGTCATTTATTTCCTGGCAATTTTGTTGACCGTTATATAATGGTTGACCAGACGGTGGTGAACTTGATGTTGACTTTTGCTGACGTGGCAAACACGTAGCAGCCACATAGATGCCACGTCATTAACACCTCATATTTTTAATTAAAATTTAAATGAAAAATGAAATAGAGAAATTAAAAATGAAAAATGAAAAAAAAACTTCTCACTATCATCTCCACCTATTAGCCTATCTCTCTACTGACGTTGCCGCCTTCGCGCAAATCGCCCAAATCCAAATCGAAATCGCAATTGCCCACCACCGCCTTTCACCACACAATTTCCGCATGTCGATTCTCTCCAGCAAATCGCTCGACCTCCACTTCCAATCGAAGTCCCACCCCATCAAGAAAACCTTTCACCGTCCTCACATCGACTGGAACAACGTGGCGAGGCCTACTTCCAATCGAAGTCCTACCTTGAAGTCCTACCTTGAGAGAAGGAGAGAGGTCTGATTCCGGAGGAAGCAGAGAGGGTGATTGGTTTCGTCAATGGCCTTTGATTCGACGATTACTTTGGCGAGGCCTGTATTTGTCATCCAAGAGATGCAGGGATGATTGAAATTGCAACGGAGATGATTGAAATCCCTAATTCCGCTCCGCCGCAATCTGACGGGCCTAACTCTGCCACCCAGATTTCTATATCTCTCTCTCTTACTGGATTTGGCGGTGACAGAGAAGGGAAGAATGATCGATGGCTAGAGGGAGGGAGGGTGCCAGAGGCCCTTGAGGATTTGGGACGGATCTGTTTTGGAGAGGGGAAGCGGCGGCAAGCCATCCGAGGTGACGATTCTGTTTTTTATTTGGGCAGAAGGGTGTGGGGTGGTTCTCCTCTCTTCGTTCTCCTTTTTTGGTTTCTGTTTCATTTTTGCAAATCCATAGAGGCCAGGGTTTATCACCTGGATCGATGGGTATCAGACCATATCCCCATTAAGATTGAACTAAACCTACAAGAAGAACAGATCAAGTGGGATGGCATTTCAAATTTGAAGCTTTCTGGCAACAACATGAGGAATGTGCATCCATTATCGAGACTGAATGGCAGAAGGATCCAGATCTTCCACTGGAAGATAGAATAAAAAACTGTGAAAAAGCTCTGCTTGACTGGGGAAGAAAGACTTTTGGTAGTCTTGGCCAAATTGTCAAAAGCTAAGAAGAATAAGGCTGTGCTCATTCAACGACGAGCACTGGAAAGAGAGCTAGATGAAGTTTTGAACTTGGAAGAAATTCGATGGAAGCAAAGATCAAGATCAGACTGGCTAAAAGAAGGTGATAAAAACACCGGTTTCTTCCATCGCAAGGCATCTAATAGAAGGCATCGAAACACAGTTAAAGAATTGGTGGGTGAGGATAGCACAAAGTTCAGGGGGCATGAGGAGGTAATGTCTTATTTCTGTGAGCATTTAAAACATCTGTTCACTACGGAGCAAACCCCCAGCATTAATGAAGTGCTTGGAGTAGTGGAACCTAAGGTCACTGCTCAGATGAATCAGGAGTTGACGAGGCCGTTCTCAAGAGAAGAAATCTATGAGGCACTCTCTAAGATGGCACCAGCTAAAGCCCCTGGCTCGGATGGTATGCCAGCTCTCTTTTTTCAAAAAAACTGGGCCACGGTAGGTGACACAGTCTGTTTAGAATTGCAAAGAATTCTCCTAACTGGGGTGGTTCCCCCTACACTGAACTATACTCTGCTGGCAATGATACCAAAAACCAAAAAGCCAGTCTCCCCAATGGAGTTTAGACCTATTGCACTGTACAAAGTTCTGTACAAAATTTTATCAAAGGTGATTGCTAATCGACTGAATCTAATCTTGGACGAGGTTATTACTGACACTCAGAGTGCCGTTGTTCCAGGTAGAAACATCACAGATAACATCATGATCGGTTTTGAATGTTTTCATGCTATGAAAAACAGAAAACAAGGAAAGAAGGGGTATGTTGCTGCTAAGCTTGACATAGCCAAAGCTTATGATCGAGTGGAATGGAACTTCTTAGAGGGCATAATGCTAAGAATGGGCTTTCATGCAGACTGGGTCAGATTGATTATGAGTTGTGTTACCAGTGTTAGCTATGCAGCATTAGTCAATGGCCACCAAACTCAGACTTTTAAACCTTCAAGAGGACTAAGGCAGGGTGACCCCATGTCACCATACCTTTTCCTCTTATGTGCTGAAGGACTATCTGCTTTGACCAAGAAAGCAGTAGAGGAAGGAAAGATCAGAGGTATCAAAGTGAATTTTTAATGGCCCTATGATCACCCATATTTTCTTTGCTGATGACAGCATCTTCTTTTTTGAGAATAAGAGAGAACAAGGAGAAGCTCTAAGAGATCTACTCAGAACCTATGAATTAGCCTCTGGTCAACAGGTAAGCTTAGTAAAATCTGAACTGTCTTTCAGTTCAAATGTGCAAGAAGGGGACAGAGTGACTATGGGTGAAATCCTTGGCATGAAAAGAGTCATGTTCCACGACAAATATCTAGGCCTGCCAACAGTCATTGGTCTAGGTAAAAAAGCTGTATTTGCACAGCTTATTGATAGAGTGAGAGAGAAGATCAAAATGTGGAAAGGAAAACTTTTATCTATGGAAGCAAAGGAAGTACTCATTAAGGCAGTGGCTCAAGCTCAAAGAATTTATTCCATGTCAGTGTTTAAGGTACCTCAATGTGTTATAGATGAAATTCAGAGAATGATTGCTAGTTTCTGGTGAGGAAGGAAAAGGGAAGAGAGAAGAATACATTGGATGAGTTGGGAAAAGCTATGTCGCCCTAAATATGAAGGTGGAATGGGATTTCGAGATTTTCAAGGTTTCAACATTGCTCTCCTTGGAAGGCAAGTTTGGAATCTTTTGAAGAAACCTGACTCACTGGTAGCCAGAGTCCTAAAGGCACGTTACCATCCACATTGTGATATTCTGGAAGCAACTGTGGGTTCTAACCCAAGCTATATATGGAGAAGCCTTATGCAGGCTCAATCTCTGGTGAAAGAAGGTACGAGTTGGAGAGTGGGGAATGGGGAGAGCATTAGAATTTGGTGGGATCGTAGGATCCCAGAAGCAAGAGATTTCAAAGTCCAATCTCAAGCGACAGGGCTGGGAATCACAGAGAAGGTGTCTAGTTTGATTGATTGGGAAACAAGGTCATGGAAGAGTAACACACTGCAGACTCACTTCCAACCAAACGACAGAGCCCGAATCGAACAGATCCCTATACCATCCCAACCTAAGCCTGATATTCAGATTTGGGGAAGAGATAAAACTGGTAAATACTCAGTTAGATATGGTTACAAGGAATGGAGAAAGAGACAAGTGTCGAACCAAGTGGAAAACTATGTCCCTGTAGAATGGAAGAAACTTTGGATGCTGGAATTGCCACCTAAAGTGCGTCTCTTTGTATGGAGGTGGGGCAGCAATATACTACCAACAGGGGTGAATCTAAGTCACACAATCAAAGAGGCTCATGATGAATGTCCTTTTTGTGGGCTGCTTGAAACCTAAGAACACATCACAAGAGAATGTGATTGGGCAGGAAGAGTGTGGAGACCTAGTGAACTAGCTGAGTTCTTCAAGATGGGTGAAGGGAAAAATTGTGAAGCTTGGCTCTGTGACCTAATTGAAGGAGTAAGCTCGGAGGAGTTAACAAAGGTGCTAATCACGCTTTGGTTCTTATGGAAGGAGCAAAACAATCATCTCTTTAACAATCCAAAGCTTGAGGAATGGAAAATTGTGGCAAAAGCCCAGAATTACCTGGAGGAGTATACTGAGCAGCAGAATCGGAGAAACCCAGGACCGCCATCGTCACGAACTCAAACCAGGATCAGATGGGAGCCTCCTCTTGAAGGATGCCTCAAACTAAACACCGACGCGGCAATCCTAGGAGAAGAGGGAATGGGTTATGGCATGATTTTAAGAGATAGTGTTGGGAACTTTCTAATGGGAGAGACTCACCGGACAAAGACGAGAAGGCCAATCGAGATGGCAGAAGCCCAGGCAATGGTGTGGGGTTTGAAGCTAACCCGACAGCACTACTCCCAGCCACTGCTGATGGAAACGGATTGTCAAACCCTGGTCCAGAAGCTTAATCGACGGGAAGCCACTGAGATGGAGGTGGCCGTGATTTGCGATGAGATCCGGGAGATTGCAGAGGAAGATGGAAGTTTGAACTGGAGATTCTGGAAAAGAGAAGGAAATGTTTGTGAGCATGAAATGGCTCGAGTGAGATGCAGATCAGAGGAGACGGAAACCTGGTTCTCAAGACCACCTATCATATTAGTCCATCTAATTTTGCAAGATAGCAATGTAGTCCCTGAACTTTAATTTATGGATTACAGATGAATTGTCAAAAAAAAAAAAGTAACATAATAAAACTAGCGAGAGTAATTAGTAAAACAATTAATTCAATGTAGTCCCTGAACTTTAATTTATGGATTACAGATGAATTGTCAAAAAAAAAAGTGACATAATAAAACTAGCGAGAGTAATTAATAAAATCATAAATGGACATTATTAATGATTGGTTCAGTTAATATATTTTTTATTAGTACTTTTTTTAATACTGATTTTTTTAACGTTATATAAAGTTGATCAATTAAGCAAAAAATGTCGAAAACTCTTAGGGGAAAATCATCGAGCAGATTCATGGCAAAAACTAAAAAGGGAAAGACAGGGGAAAATGATCATGCAGATTTTCTAGAAACAGGAACGAAGAATTGAGAACTCAACTTGACGTTGACGCCGCCATGGAAGCACCATTGATTAATTTTCTCTGGATATGATAATATTTCTCCAAACTAGATAGTCGAATTGTCGTATAAAAATTGATATGATGGCGGTTGCCATTGATTAAATTAATGTATGCATATCTTTTACTAATACGGTAGTTTTATGAAAAATAGAGCTTCGGATGTACATTAGAAAATTAGAATTGAAATTTTAGACATTCGTAAATTAGGTTTAATATTTATTTATATAAAAATTAAATAGAAAAACATGGTTTATTAAGGTGTAATTTATGATTAATAATATTTTTTATAAATATTTTGAGTTATTCGAAGTCAGAATTTGGAGTTTTTAAGAGGGAAAGGATTTTTGAAAATTTATAAGGTTTATTCAAAGGATTTTTTAGTTAATTGTTATAATTTTAGTCTTCAAACAACTTGGGGGAAAATTCCAGTTTTTGAAGAAATTATTTAAAAAGGATTAAAAGGCTTTTTAGAATTTTGGGACAAAGCAAGGAGGACGGAAAATTTTAAGTTAAAAAAACTAAGATGGACGATTACCGACTAAGGGTCAGTATCTTTTCGAATTATAGATTCTAGAGGTACTGTTGATTGAGGTCCACTGATTAAGAGGTTGGGAATCGTTTTTATTCGAGGTGAGTGTAAAGGGGGTAAATTCTACACCTTACGATGTTTAAGTTTTTCTGATTTACTGCTGATGTCATATCTGCCTATGTATGTCTATATGATGCATATGAATACGTGTGAATTACGTTTCCAATTATGCGTTATATTGCATGCTTTACTTACAAGTAAATTGAAGTTTAACAAAAAGTTTTTTTTAAGAAGTACTTCACCTTCAAAGAGGGTGAAATAGTTATAAGACTTTTTAGTCACTAGCGCCAGTCCGTTGCCCGTTTGAGATTTTGAGATAGAACACTAGTTATGCTCTTAAGACTTTTAAGATGAGTAATTATACTCTTGAGAATGGTGGGGATGAATCGTTATGAATTCCACAATACGTTTAAGAATTAGGGAATGAATCATTACGATTCCCCTAACTAAGTTTAAGGAAAGCCTTGATGGGCTCTCCTACGAATGAGTTGGGCAACCGAACTAGCTAGTGAGGGATCCCCATGTCATTAAAAAATTAAGTTGAGATTTGAGCTTTAAGAATGGAGAGTAACATTAACTGTCATACAGCTTTAAGAGTTAAGATTTTTATGAGTGGAAGCACCAACAACTTCCACCAGTTTAAATTAAGTGTCTTGACTAAAGTGCTCAAGTACTAAAGATTTTAAACGTAAGAGCGTAGGACGACCCCAACTCACTCTCCCGATCATAGAGGAAGAGATCATAATCAGACAGTTTGTGATCAACAAGTTAGAGGGGCTGAACATCATCGTCACTGAGGGATGGCGAGTGAGGCATAAGCATAAGCACTAGAGACTATTTAAGTTATTGAGGCTTTGTGTTTATGAATTTAAGAACTAGAGATTTTGTTCTCTTGTTTCTTCTTAAGAGCACGATTTAATTTTTGCCCACATGTTTAGGGCTTTGCCTTGAATACTAAGTTATTTAAGATTGGTAACTTTCATTTAAGGTTATGTTATTTGAAAATTTTAAGTATATCCTGGGGTAAAATGTCTTTCTAAGTTTCAAAGTAGTAGGATGTTACAATTCTTAAGGGCATATTGATTCTTTATAATGTCTATCACTCGAGATACTTTTATATAGAAAGATGAGATATTGGAGAGAATTAAAAAAAATGTTAATTTATAAAGAAAATATGCAGCACATTAAACTAATTGAAAAAGAGTTGATTCAGTTATTCCATGAAAATTAAGATTTGGTTGGCATTGGTAAGACAAGTTTGGTAAGACTACATAGGCAATATAGTATCTTGTTGAGGTTGGTTACAGTACGAGGGTGTAAAGATTGGTTGTATCCAGACTTGCAGGGCAACACATTTGGAAGTTTGGTTGTCTCTTAAGGAATAGGTATGAATAAAGCACACACATAATGCACTTTCATAAATGAGTACTATTTGCATGATTGAAAGCAAGCAAATCCACAATGCATTTTTCCGAAGGAATGATGATTCTCTATAAATGTATATCACTTAAGATACATTTAGACAACTCGATGAGATATTGGAGAGAACTAATATAAGATCATTTATAAAAACAATATTGGAGCGGTATGATTTCCATTTCAGTGGAGTGTGGCACCACATCCCAAAATCGGAGACAAAAAAGCCAAATGGAAAGAAGTTTGAAGGCTGCTATCTTCGTGAACGGTCTTGATCGTCGCTACCGCCTCTAGCTCTCGACACAAGGAATTATGGGAAGAGGGACGCTTGGTTACAAATGCTTGCGTCGCTATTTGTTCGCCATTAATGATCGGCTCACCCCGGGTACCCAAGGTGCTCATGTATTCTTGCTTATCTTTTATCTTTTCCCTTTAATTGGTCGGTGGATTTTGTCATTTTTTTCAAGCATTGAACTTGTATTATTTCGTATCTTTTCTCTGGTAGTGTTTTGGGGAGAGAAGAACATGATTGTGGTGTTTTTTATGGTAAATTCATCATGAAGCTTCCCAAGGATGGCGACGGTATACCCTCCACAAACCACAATGTTGAATGAACTGATGCTCAAGGAAAGCTTGATCAAGCATGGGGAATGGGTAGATGTTTTACCCTCCACATGTGGCGACAAGCAAGACCTTGAGGTCTTGTTAAATGGAGGTTGTCAATGAAGGTTATGCGCTCCACGTGTATCCTTAATCTATATTCACCGAAGGTACTCTCATGGACGACCACTACAACCCGGTTATGGTGTTTCGAGTAGAGAAAGAAGAGGAGGATCTCAAAGAAGCACAGAGCTTGATGACTTTATTGTTCAATGGCGCTAGAGAGCGGTTCCGCTCGACATGATTTCTCGAGAGTTAATTCAATTCAATCAAGGTAAGGTTTGTTCTGGTTTTCACTATGGCATAATAGGTTCTCCTATTCAGCTCTTAGTTTGTAGTGATGCATGACAGTTTTGATTCGATGGCTTAGCATCTGGCTTCACATGTAAGGTTACCTAACAATGATTTGAGTACTTATTGACACAGAAATACATGTTCTTTTCCCATTTCCAGGCAGAAAAAAGATTGTTTCGGCTCTAAAGAGTGCACAACATTCGGGAAAGGAGCAATCTTCCTCGTTGCAGGCATACAACAATTCTGCTCTTTCAGACTAAATGAATGTTGTACAGTCTACTGCTAAAATATTTTGTTTGGATGTTAGTATTTGATATGTTCTTGGGTGACATAAGCTACTTAGTATTTTCAAATGTTTGATATTAGGTGACACAATCACATTGAAAACCTAATCATATTTAGAGATTTGAAGTTTGCGAGATTATTTGAGTTTAAGTCATCGCTAGTTTGAAATAGTTTTGAGTTTGGATTTGAGTTATTGTGACGTCTATAGCTTCTTAGAAGCTTACAAGGAGGAAGAGTCTAAACGGTCCTAATGAAGAGAGTTTGCGAACAATACCAAGGAAGAGCAAAAAGGCCAGAGGGAGTTTGACGAGATTTCAAGAATTCAATGGGTCAAGTCTCAGGTGACTCTATGTCAAGAAGCTGCACAAAGAGGTACGATGAGGGAAAGCATAACCAAGAAGGAGGAAAAAGAGAAGTTACCTTATCCAAGGTGCCCCACTCTGAGTGGGCGCGGCATAGTAGGAGGGCTCCAGAGGGGACAACTAGTTAATGATGAAACATGCACATTTAGTTAAGCCACTAAGAGCCATGACTAAGAGATTAAGGCTGTGTACAAGCATCGGTCGAGACAAAAGACGTGGATGAGGTATGTTCAAGGTTACCAAGGGCAAGCCACCATTGGAACTTGTGACCTAAAACAACAACGAGAAGATACTCAACAGAGGTTGGTGACCAAATATAGTACAAGCAACAACAGAAGAGTTGTAGTTTGGTGGTAGTAAAAGTAAAGAAGCAAGGAGAACACCATAGGACGCTATAGGAAATAAAAATATAAAAAGTGGTTGTCGACCGTACAATGAATGCGTGAAGGAAGATAGTTGGGACTTGGTCAAGCACCATCGTGAGTAGAAGTCGTGGGAGTCATATGTCAAGTCTACCGAGAGAGTTTCTAGTGGAAATGTTGGCTCTGAGGTATGGTGAGGAGCTACTAAACTAAGTAGATCAAAGCTAGTACCAAGCATCGATGATGGAGTTGTGGAAGTAAGGAGGGAACCACAAGCTATAATGAAAGTTATGGTGAAAAGAGTGGTAGTTGATAAAATGACAAATTCAGGGAGAAAGATAGTTAGGAAGAGCCGGCGAAAGAATATGAAGGTCAACAAGGAGGCGTTAAGGTGATTGCCAGTGGAGAATAAGTTGGACCATAGGAAGCCCATCAAGAACGGAGAAGCTCAATAGTCAACTCTAAAGTAGAAGTGTGGTGGTCCAGAACGGCCGAAGGGAAAACCTTATCGGTCAAGGTACATAAGTGAGAAGAGAATATGGGCACCAAGATGACTACATCGAGGACGAGGGACATATAGAACTAGCGAGAAACATCGGTAAGAGGAATCACGAGTAAGGAAGAAAGATGGATATGAGTTTAGCGAACCTGCTAGGATACCCTAAAGTGGAAGCAATACCACCTATGAGGGTGAAATGTGGCGATCTCTCGGGTGAAAATTTCTTGGACGGGGAAACTGTACGGGGAATTTCAGGCAAGGTCATAGAACAATAGAAGAGATCGTACGAGAACTCCCAAGTCAAACGATGATAAGGAAGTATTAAGTTAGGTGCCAGGAGTGAGCAAGTACGCAAAATGGAAGGTCATGATTTTGGAAAGGATTCATAAATTTGATCGCAAGCTAGAGAAAGACGCAAAGGATGCCTCTAATGCATATAGGAAGTAGAAACAGTAGTATGAGGTTCCAATACTAAGCAGCAAGTAACGAGGCGGTGACAATTCACTTTATGGTTAATGGATAAGACGAGGCATTAAGGAAGAAAGTAAGAGATGCAAAGTTAAGAGATACAATCACCTAGGTGATCTATACCCCGGACGAGAGTTATGTTAAAGGAGTTCTACCCTCTGACTGAATAGGGGATAAGCCGCCATCAATGACCATGGGGTTGGAGAGGGGCAGTACCTTCTCATATACCAAACAATGGATAGTTATCGTCCCTATATACGTACAAGTGTGTAGTACAAGGTGCAGCCGAGGTAATGTGAGGGGTTGAGAAGCCACAACAACATTGAAGTTGCGGGAAGTGGAGAGAAAGATCTTTAGGATATGTCATATAAGTTAAGGGAAATACAAATCCTCGAAGTAAAAAGGATTACCACAAGCGATGCTTAGGGTAATCACAATGGACAAATTTCGAGGGCAAAATTTCTATAAGTGGGGAGGAAATGTGATACTTCGACTCTGATATAAGGGCCAACAACGAGTGCTGAAGGAGCTGGACCAACAAGGTGAATCAATGATTTTTTTCCATCACCAGATGGGGGAATTAAAAAGGGACAAGTAGCCACTCAAAGCTACTAGATGCTAATGAGCTTGTTGCGAATACCTTTTATGGCGAAGAGGAAATAACTTGAGGTGAGGTAAACTATACGGGACAAGCAACGGACATCATCAAGGTTCATATAGAGAGAGTAAATTTTTGGGGCAAGGAAGTACAAGAATGGTGTTGACAGATGAATGAGATTCAAGCAAATTTCGGGGACGAAATTTTTATAAGGGTGGAGGAAATGTAACACCCCGAATTTTGGATTAGGTTCGACCGAATGATTGGATCGATGGTTACGTACGAAGGGTTGCAACCGCGGTTTATGAATAATAATAATAACTATATTATTATTATTACTAGCTTATAACCCGGCCCATTGGCCGGAATGTTCTTATTGGATTATTTATATTTTTATATTATGTTTAAGCCAATCAATCGGTTTAATTTTATTGACAATCCTTCGATCGAGATGATATATAAAGAAAGAATATGTGGGTCTAACATTCGGAGAAATACTATTTTCATAATGATAAAATATCATTTTCATCATTTAAGAATATAAAATGATTGACAATCCTTCGATCGAGATGATACATAAGGAAAGAATATGTAGGTCTAACATTCGGAGAAATACCATTTTCATAATGATAAAATACCATTTTCATCATTTAAGAATATAAAATATAAAATGTATCATTAATTCCATTTTCATAATGATAATTAAGCCCTCGTTAAAATACTATTGGTTAGTTGATTGTCAAGAAAGAGAGTATAAAAGCTCAGTGAAATTCCACACGACCATTAGATAGTTTGAAACTAAATCACATCACAATCCTACATAAGGATTTAATGCGCTCCATTAATGAACAATATGCCAGTAATAAAAAAGAAATGGAGAGTTGTTGATTCAAGTCAACTATATACTAACAACTCAGCTAAGAGGGGGCCATCAAAACTTGAGAGCAAACGAAAAAATTAGGGTTATCTCCAACATACTAATAGACTCAATCAAAGTAATAATGCACAAAATGACACACTCCTTGTCTATCAGTTCCAGTAGGTTGAATAAAGAATCGACCTACTTCAATAAATCAATCAATGATTCCTCGTTTTAAGATAGAAATAGGTTGCGATAGATGTAAAAACCATAAACATAAAAATCCAATAGCCATCACTCTTTGTTGTACAACCAAATTTTTATCTCAAGAGACATATATTTCAACCGTAAATTCAATTTCGAATCCTCCTTCTGCAACTCCATTATTGATTAAACTCTTTTACTTGCCCAACTTAAATCCCCAACAATAAAATCGCGTGCCAAGAGATACCGAATGATCGATTTTCAAAGGCGGCCTTGTAATGGGAAGTGAAAGGGGCGCAAACTATCGTACGATGAAGGAAATTTTCGAGGAAGTTAGAAAGAGATAAAAACAAAGATAAAAATCGCTAAATTTAAATTGAAAAATGCAAAGACACACACGTAGTGACAAAATTAGTTTTTTCCATGGTAGCCAATTATCAATTTACCTTTAGCAAAAATTAAGGAGAGAGAAAGAATTTTAAAATTGAGAAAATTACATGAAACTCTACTATGAAAATTGAAGTATCAAGCACCATAAGAATACATACGGTATACTTAGTGGGCTTGCTAATCATGATGGAAAGTCCTGCAATTTTCAGAGAGTTGAACTTCGTGTATATTTTGTATTCAAAATGACACAACAAATTTGTTCAGTGTAAATGGTTGTGATTGATGTCTTTGTTAGAAGAAACCCGGGTTCAAATCCTAATGTTGATATTTTTAATGAGAGATAAATAATTAATTGTAAAGACAAAAATGTCCTTCCTACTTTCACTCTGTACTATATATTATTAGGGGATTAACAAAAAAAATATATACATATAAACCGAGAGGGCGCTCGGCCCTCAATGATTTTCCAAGAAAACCTCGTCCATCCCGTCCCTTTCTCTCGTCTTCATCAATTCCCTACCCCCTCATCAATTTCCACCGACCCAACAAGGAAAACCACCGCCACCAATCAAAGGGGCCGACCCTTGATCTCCTTTCTTCCTCTCCTGTGATTTCTGCGATACCCACAAGAAAAAGATCAAATTTTTACGACAAGATGAAGGAGGGAAATGATGGGTTTGTCCGCGCGGATCATATTGATCTCGAGAGCCTTGACGAACAACTTGAGCGCCATTTCAGTAGGGTTTGGACTATGGACAAGAACAAGCGATCTGAAGATTCCAATCTTTCTCCATCTGTTGCTGGTGCTGCTGTTCCAACTACTACTACTTCCCTTCACGCTTCAAAACCTACTTCCATGGCCGCCGCTACCGCCGCCACCGCCGCCTTGACTAAGGACAGGAGGGAAGGGGAGATCTACCCTTCTAATCTTGTTATCAAGGGTGTCATTGCTCATGGTACCTTTGGGACAGTCCACCGTGGTGTTACGATGGTCTCTACGTCGCATCCCCTAGCAAACAAAACCCTGCCGCCAAGTAACAAAGCGAGGAAAGGGGAGAGGAGCAGCGCCGCTTGGAGGAGAATAGCTTCTTTTGCGATAAGCTCTAAAAGGTTGTGGTGGTGGGTTCGCTGCCATCTTCTATGATTGCAAGCCACGGGTACGTTTGATGAGGCCTCCATCGTTGTACCTAGAACATGGATGAATCTCAAGAAAGAAAAAGAGTTCAGCTTGGTGGTTTGATCATGGTGAGTCTGGCAATCAGGTTGATGGGGTTTCGGCAATCGAGCAATTACTGATGAACAAAAAGTTTTCTAGGGATGAAGTCAATCGGTTGATTGAGATAATTCACTCAAGGGCTGCTAATTCTCCCAACAAAGAGGAAGAGAAGCAGCATTCTGGTATGTTTGGGTGGGAAGCTTTTTCTAGCATTTGAAGTTTGATTTGGTGAGTAGGTGCATCGAGGAGAGAGCTTGGGGGGATAATTGCTTTTGGACAGGAGCGATCAGAAGTGATCGATGAATTGTCAGTGGACAAGAGAGCTTGCAGTTCATTGGTTTTTAGACCGAGTACATCGAATTCCTCAGCTCAAGCAGTTCCGACCACGATCCCGGCGTAGGCGACTTCCAATTTTTTTCTGAGTGGTGGTTATCATCGCGAAAAGGAAGATCCCAGGAGCATCACGGTCTTGACGGAATTGAGTTTCGACATCGGACGAGGAAGATTCGAGCGTCGAAAGTTTGGGACGCAAATCAGACAGTTCAGGTATCAGTCTTGGCAATTCAAGAAGTTAGAGGATTAAATGTGTAATTTTTTTCCAGAGATGTCGTGGTCAACTGTGTTGACTCGGAAATTACAGTTTTGGTACCTAGTACTTTTAAACTGACATAATGTTTATTTTGGTCATAACTTGATCAATTGACGTCTGAACGAGGAATCGTCAGCGCCTACGGAATCGTGATAACAAGGAGAATTTGATTGGAGCAAGTATGGAAATTTTAGAGCAGATTCAGAGTTGGTCTCGACGGATATAAGGTGAGTGTAAAGGGGGTAAATTCTACGCCTTACGTGTTTTTTTAAGAATTACAAGCTTTAGGTATTTTGATGAAGTGATTGTCGTTGTTTGTTTGCGCTTATGGTTGATGATGTGTGATTTTGTTTGAGCTATGTTTAATGTGAATGTGCATGAGTTCTTATTTAAATTAAAGCTCAAGTTTATAAGTTATTGCTAAAGTTAAGGAACAAGTTCTTTTTAAGAAGTAACTCACCTTCAAGAAAGTGAAGTCGTTTTAAGTGTTTTTAGTCACTAGCGTCAGTCCGTTGCCTTTTGAGACAGTTTGAGATAGAGCAGCAGTTATGCTCTTGAGACTTTTAAGATGGGCAGCAGTTGTGCCCTTGAGAATCGTGGTGAAGAGTCACCACGATAAGTTTAAGATGTTAGGGGGATGAATCGTTACGACTTCCCTAACTAAGTTTAAGTTTAAGGAAAGCCTGAATGGCTTCTCATACGTATGAGTTGGGCAACCGGACTAGCTAGTGAGGGATCCCCGTGTCTGTCAAAGGATTTAAGTCAAGCTTTGAGATTTAAGAAGGGAGTAAAAGTAACTCCCATACAGTTTTAAGAGTTAAGCTTTTTAATAGTGGAAGTAACAACTTCCACTCAGTTAAGTAAAATGCTCAAGTATTAATAAGATGTTAAAACGTAAGGGCGTAGACTGATCCCATCTCACTCACCAGTTTGAGGAGCTAGAGGAGCAGTTAGTGAGCAGCGAGTTCGAGGGCAGCCAGCTAGAGTAGAGCAGTATAAGCGTCACGGAGGATGCTTAGTCGAGGTTTTCAGTAGCAACAACTTCAGAGATTATTAGTTATTTACATTTATGATTATTAGTGCAGACTGGAGATTATTTTGAGATCAGATTGAGATTTTAAAGTTTGAGTTTAATTTGCCCACGTGTTAGGGCTTTGCCTTGAACTTCAAGTGTGTTTTCAGTATTTTATTTATTAAAGTTTTTCCCTCTGTAATTTAAGATTTGAGTAATTTATTTGTCAATGGCATTTTAGTAAAAGTAGTACCTGGCCGGGTTAGGGTGTGTCAATCCTGACTCTAGAAAACCAATGACTGCTGGTCTAACAATTGACCCCAAGCAGTTACAAGTTTTTTTTAAGAGTCCAGCCGAAAATCCATTTTGTTTAAAGCCTTATCAATCTGTTCTTTTCCAAAAGCATATGTCAAGAATTGGTTCATTTCATATCTTACCCTTGGAGATATAGCTTACCTCACCATCTCTGAGTCAATTGTTTTCTTCACTAGTATATAGCTGATTGAAGTAATCTATAGTGCATTCTATCACTTCCCCTGCCCCTCATAGATTCTGCCATTTTCACCACTTAATCTTATGATAGTATTCTTTTTCCTTCCTGCAGAGGCATTGTGATAGAAGAGAATAGGATTGGGAACTGAGAAGGAGAATTAGGGATTGAGAACGAATTGGGGAAGAACAGAGAAAAGAGGGATTTAGGGATTTTGATATTCTTATTGCTTAATCTCAATTGAACGTACTGCACTCTCTTTTATGAGTTTTAGAAAACTAACAAGAAATAACAAAACTGTCACTCAACTCGGCCCACATGGCCGAACCCAACCTACCCCTACCAGCCGAGTGGGTCTCTATCATCCCCTTCCCCATCAGAAACGACCTTGCCATCAAGGTCGAATGTCGGGAAATGCTGTCGGAGCGTGATCGTCTCCTCCCAAGTGGCATCATCTCTCTCCATGTGCTGCCACAGAACCAAGCTCTCCTCAGTCATCCGCCCGCCTTTCCTCTCCCACCTTGTATCCAAGACCTGCAAGGGGGTTAGCTCAAGATACCCATCCGCGGAAACCGGCGGGGCGGTTGTCTCCACCCGGTCTGCCGCTCCTCTGTACCGCTCAGTAATGACATGTGGAAAGTGGGATGGATGCGCCCATTAGCTGGAAACTGCAGACGATATGCTACCGGGTTAATCTACTACAGTATCTCATCGGGCCCCAAGTAACGAGCTGCCAACTTCTGGTATGCACAGCGAAAAATGGAAGCCTGCCAGTAAGGGTGCAGACAAAGCAGAACCCAGCCCCCTACCTCGAAATCCTCCTCGTGACATCCTGCATCGGCCATCTGCTTCATCTTAATATTGGAAGCAGCCAAGTTGGCCTTGAGCTGCTCCAAGGCCTCATCCAGTGTCTCGAGCCAATGATCCACCGCATCCACCTGGTTAGTGCTACGCTGGTAGCGGACCAAGGAAGGTGGTGGTCTCCCATAAAGAGCCTCAAACGGCGTCGTCTGGATCGCCCTATGGTAAGTAGAGTTATACCATAGCTCCGCCCATGGCAACAGAGCCAACCACCGCCTCGGCTGCTGGTGGGCAAAGCAGCGCAGATACTGCTCCAGGTAATGGTTAACCACCTTCGTCTGGCCGTCTCTAGGGATGGTAGGCCGAACTCATCCGCAGCGTGGTCTGGGCCATAGTGAACACCTCCTTCCATAAGCGGCTCAAGAAAACGGAGTCCCTGTCGCTGACAATAGACCTCGGGAACCGTGGTGACACACAACCCCCATCACAAACTGCTCGGCCACTGACCGGGCTGTATACGGGTGTGCCAGGGCCATGAAATGGGCATATTTTGTCAGTCGATCAGTGACAACGAACAGGACTGTCTTTCCTCCAGAATGGGGAAGGCCGACGATGAAGTCCATACTGATGTCCTCCCACGCCCGCTCGAGTACCGGTAAAGGCTGCAAGAGACCTGCCGGCCAAAGATGAGACGCCTCGACCCGCTGACAGGTATCGCATGTCGCTACATAGTCCTTCACGTCTTGGCCCATCTGAGGCCAATAAAACTGTGCTCGGATCCGCCGCAGTGTCTGCTCGGCCCCCGAATGCCCTCCAAATGGAGAGTCATGATACTCCATCAGCACAATCGTCACCAGTGAAGATCCCCGCGGAAGAACAAGGCGCCCACGGAAGAATACCAACCCCTGCCGAAAGGAATAGTGGCCCGGAGCTTCACTGACTGTTGTATCCCGACAACCCCGCAAGTAGGCATCGGTCTCCGTAAGAGCCTGCATTGCATCCCATAACTGGGGCACGGGCCCTGTCACTGATGCCAGTATCTCACCCCCAGGGCGGTGCGAGGGCCCATCTGGCACGACGTTGGAGGGACCCGGCCGGTAATGGATCTCATAATCATACCCAAGAAGCTTCGAGACCCACTTGTGCTGATCAAGAGTGGAAACTCGTTGCTCCAAGAGGTTCCTCAGACTCTGATGGTCGGTGTAAATGTGGAACTTCTGGCCCAGAAGATATGGTCGCCACATCTGCACTGCTGTGATGATAGCCTGCATCTCCTTCTGGTAAGTAGACCAAGCTTCCTTGAATGGAGCCAAGGTCTTACTCATATAGGGCACTGGGTGACGGTCCAGAGATAACACTGCCCCAATACCTCGGCCAGAAGCATCCGCCTCAATCACGAAAGTCCGAGAGAAATCTGGTATGGCTAGGGTCAGGGTGGTGGTCATGGCCTACTTCAGCTGCTGAAATGTCGTGTCCGCCTCCGCGGTCCATGCAAACCCGCCCTTCTTCAATAGGTCAGTCAGGGGCTGGGCGATCATACTGTATCCCTGCACAAACTTCCGATAGTAACCGGTCAAGCCCAGGAACCCTCTCAGCTCCGTGACAATGGTCGGGGTTGGCCACTCGACCATAGTCTGAATCTTCGACTGATCCACCTGGACCCCCTGGGGTGCGACAATGTGACCCAGGTACTCAACCTTCTGCACCCCAAATGCACACTTTGAAGCTTTGAGGTAGTACTGATGGCGTCGTAGAATCTCAAACACTGCCTGCAAATGCTTCAAATGCATCTCCCATGATGTACTGTAGACTAGAATTTCATAAAAAAATACCAACACATACCGTCTCAGTAGAGGTCGAAAAATGTCATTCATCGCCGCCTGAAAGGTCGAGGGAGCATTGCACAAGCCGAATGGCATGACCAAGTCCCCATAATGGCCGTTATGAGTCCGGAAAGCGGTCTTGTGCGCATCCTTCTCCTGCATCCGAATTTGGTGGTACCCTGCTCGGAGATCGACTTAGTGAAGTACGCCGATCTGTGGAGCTGGTCGAGTATATCGTCCACGGTCGGGATCGAGAATCGATCCTTCACTGTCGCGGCATTGAGTGCCCTGTAATCCGTGCAGAATCTCCAAGTCCCATCATTCTTCTAGACCAACAACACCGGTGAGAAAAAATGACTGGTGAACGGTCGAATCAGGCCGGTCGCGAGAATCTCCTCCACCTGTCGCTCGATCTCCTCCTTTTGTGAGTGCTCGTACCGGTATGGACTGACGTTCACAACCTCCACCCCATCCTTGAGCTAAATGCGGCGGTCAACCTAGCGGTGGGGAGGTAATGAGGACGGTGTCTGAAAGAGCTCCGGAAATCCTGCTGACTCGCTCCTACCGTCACTCTAGAAAATGGCCAAGTGTAACCACCTCCTAAAGCATAGTATAGAGGGTTTGGGTTTTAATGTCAACCCGGGTCCTAGATGTGATGACTACTCTGTGAGTTCTTATTATTTAGCAGTGAAACTTTAGTGAAGATCCAAACAAGCAAACAAGCAAAGCAAGTAAAAAGGTTGTTTTCAAGTCGAGAGAGGTCACCCGGATATGGTTCCCCCTAGATTGCAGTTAAGCCGGATTGTAATTTACCTAGTTCAGGTTCAATGAAAGTTATACCGCGGGAGATTCTTAAACAGTCTGAAGTCTCGACTAAAGGTCTCCAGACCCTCTCAATCTGAGTCTCCAGCGGGCGACTAACCTCCACCGGAGTAAACAGATTGAGGCCCTAACGAACCAAACCTCCACTCCCGAAGTAAATTCGGTACATAATAGTGAATTGACTCCTCGACTAAAGTCGCCAATTCACTACCTTCAATCAAGGGTGCTCTATCAACCTAGGCAGATATTCTCTTTCTAGGTTAAAGCAGAAACAACAGGATTTTGATAAGGATTCATGCCATTCAACAAATCAAACCTCAATTAAACATAATCATACCACTGAATCTGTACTTGGGTTCATACAATCAGACCTAACATACAAATCTAGGGTTCTTCATACCCAGGTGAATAAGAAAGTTACTCCATAGAGAGAGATGGAAAATCTAGCTCAGATGGGGAAACCATACTGTGAAGGATGGGAATCTGCTTCTAGCACTCAATCAGATCTTCTCCAAGCTCAAGCCCCGCTCCAATGGTGATGGAGCTCGATCAAGGACACATGTAGAGTCAGGTTTGTCACTTTCTCTCTCTAGGTATAGCTTTTTCTCTCTAAAACTCGGAACTCTTGTCTTTTGCCCTTCTTTTCCCTTAAGAAGCTGTCTGTCGCGATCCCCGACCTAAATACCCAGTCGGGTATTTTGGGTAGAGGCCGGGTATATTCAAAACGCAACGTCTGGGGACAGGGGAAAATCCCCGGTCAAGTCCAAGAATCCCCGACCAGGGATTTCTTCTCACTGCCCGGGCCCCCTTCTGCTTCTCTGAGACGCCCGAAGCGTCAAATCCCCGTTCTGCTCCAAATAATACCCGGCTGGGTATTTCTGCTCATGGCCGGGTATTTTGCTCCTCCAGCACACTTCACCCCCAAACGTGCTCATTTCGACCCGAAACTCGTTTCTTCGCCTCGATGCCAACGCTAAGCCCTGAAATATGACATAAACGCACAACCTAGCGTGACTGGTCCCAATCCTTGCAGCCATGGACACCCAAATCATGTCAAACCCGCGAATGGGCAGCACAAACACATCCACGGTGACAGGCAGCCCTTGAATCTCGAACGGAAGCTCCCGATAGACGACCTTGCACTGCATAGGCGCCCCATTCGCTACTCGAACCACCATCGAATCCACCAGACTCGGCGCCTGCGGGAGGAACTTGGCGAGCTCCTCGCTAATAAAATTGAGGGTGGCGCCACTGTCCACCAGAC